ATATTACGCAGGTACCCACTGTGGCTGATGGACTTCGGCCCAAATATTCATGCATAAAATCCTCGGTCTTAGTCTATAGACCTTGAATAAACGGATCTATTCCAAGTTCGTGGATAATTTCCGAGACAATTAAAAAGGCGACAATTTCTGAATTGGAGTGCCTACCAGAAAAAGGACGGGAAATGCTGGGGGACCCATTGACGAACCGAACTCCTCGCACCTGCGCCATGCAGCGGCAAAACATCGGCGAAACACGCGTGTTTAGGCTTTTGGCTAGTACCTGTGCTGTTAGTGTGATATCACTCTACCCTAAAGTAGAAGTGTTTCCTGAAACTCTTGATGTCTCATTCACTGACGCATGTACAAGTCAAACGGTTACGTATGTTCGGAAAATAATTTTGTAATTTAAATAATAATTTATCTCTGTTCGATAACATTTTTCATCTGATCAATTAGTCATGAGTTATATAAATAGGTTATAAGTGGAACTCCGCCATTGAGATGACTTACATTACGCGTGCCCATTTTGTTACAGTCAGTGGCGAAGGTGGCCGCATCTGGGCCACGGCCTTGGTACTGGTGCTGCTCGAAGTAAAGATTCCTTGGCGCTCCGCTGAGTGGCGTCCGCTCGCCCAGGAAGGAAGATCCTGGCTCGCCAAACGTCTTCCACACAAGAAGACCCCTGGGGAAGAAAGAGGAGGGGAAAAGAATAGCGCACTGGAGGAACTCCGCTCCCTGGCAAAAGCCACACTTACCACTCTCATCCCCTTTCCTTGAGAATTGTTTTCGTCATTCTCGTTCTTGTTCTCCCTTAATGGGGTGGGGGAGGCAGGGAGTGACTGGATCTCTTTGATTTTCCACACTACGTCTACTATCTGCCCTTTTTATATCCTCTCATCCATTTATTTTCTTATATATCCCTGATGTTTTCTGGGTAATTAAATGAGTTTTGCGGAAGCCGCCTATTGTTTTCTGAGATAACGTGCTTGGCACAGCTTTCCTAAAGTACTACTGCATTGCTGTTGGCAGAAGCCACCCTGAAAACGCTGTCAGCACTGTCTTTCAATGAAAGACTATCTGCTTGAAGGTATTGGCAACTTCGAAACCAGTCTCAGCCGAAGTCAGCCTTCCGCACGCAGATCGCTTACTGGCTCTACTCCGATTAGACAAGCCAATCTCTAGGCACAATCACTTCAGCCAGTTGTGCTGTGTTCTGGCAGAGAAGGGTTTTCATATCAGACCTGTTCGACTAGGCCCATCCTTCGGTCGAAGCATGCTGACTTCTCGGGTAAAGTAGTTCTCAAAGAGGTCGAAACATCTCCAACCTACCACAGTCTCGTTGTTGAACGAAAAATTAATTGCTTCGTGCCGAATCTTTGTTCTGTCCCTTGGAAAGCCAGGCGGGTTTATTGAAAAAGAAGCCCGATAAGTAATCACGATCACGGTTCTGCGTCGCTTCTGAACGACTGAAAACGGCGATTTCTGTCAGCTGTGTATACCTATCCTTGTCGTATGAAGGGTTAGAGTCTTGCGTTTATTTCCACCAGTGCCGCACATATGAGCCATGAAGAGGTTTGGAAGGCAGTTTCTCATGAGATTTCAATTGCGATTCGGAGGAGTCCGTAGTCGTCGCCATACAGGCATTGAACAGCACGAGAGGTAGAGAGGAAAAAAACTAGCTAGCACGTGAATGAACACTTTCATCTGTTTTCAGCAATGAGACAATTCATTGGTTCAGAAGAAGAAGACGCCATCTTTGGAACAAGAAGCTTTTGATTCGAAGTTTTGGATTTGACCTCGAACGCATTACCAGGGACAGTCGCAGATGAAGGTAGTGGAGACATGGGGAGTGCAGTACTTATAGGACGCAGTTACTGGTTCTTGTAAGTAAAACAGAAGCAGCAGTAGTTGCCACCACCACCACCACCACCACCACCACCACCACCATCACCATCACCACCACTGTCGCAACTAATACTCATGTTACTACTATTGGTTCTACTGCCACTACTATTACAACAACAACAACAACTACTACTACTACTGCGGATGCTACCACTATTACAACTACCAGCACAACAAAGATACAACTATCGTTGGCAATACCACTCAAAGAACAGTAGTTATGTTCGAACTACCAACTTCATCAACTTCAACATCATTACCACTCATCCTACTAGACGACGCAAAAACCCTTTTGAAGAAAGTAGGACAGCGAAATCAGCCTAAATTCCTTTGCAGAGAGACAGAACCTCACTGCATTTACCACACTCTTGCCGCAGTCAGTCAGAACTCCAGCAGCTGCGGGGTATACTTCACGAAAACGGATATCCAGAAAGATTTACCCTCCGAAATATAGGGAGCGCACTGTAAAGCCCACCATGGCAACTGCAGAAAAGAAAGACTTATTTATAAGACTTCTTTTTCAAGGAGACGCAGCAAATGACCTAATAAGAAGACGTCTGAAGACAGCAATCACTGGCGCTTTCCCCGCGGCGAATTTACGTGAATGTTTCACGAACTCTCCCCTCCTACGCTTGGGAGGTAAAGACCGACTCCCGTTGCAGGCCACATCGATGTGTATTTACTCATTCACTTGCCACTGTGGAGCGGAATACATTGGCCGTACAACGAAATGCCTGGAAAAGAGAGTACGTGAACACGTACCGGCCTGGCTAGGCAGAGGTGAAAAAAATCGATCTCGAGTTCTATCCACGCACATCTTGTGGATACGAATCGCCAAGTCGATGCCAAAGAAGCCGTTCGTGTTGTCTATCGGACACCAACAAGCTTCGCCAGAGGCCTACGTCAACGGGTGCTAGCTACAGCCGAGGCAGTGGCTATACGGCTAGCCAATCCAGTGCTATGCTGTCAGAAGTCTCTGACACAAGCGCTCTGTATTCCGTGGCCAACGCCGACCCAAACTCCTGATGGCAGTGGGGCGTGCACAGCGTACCCGACGTACAAACATTACTCACAGCTTATGTCCCCCCTCTCCCTCGCTGCCTTGACCCAATGACCAAGACGTGCCGACCACACCATAGCACGCCTCGTCATGCGAGTGCGTGGGAACGGTGATTGGCATGGGAACGATTAGTGTTAATAGTTCCTGGATCACAAAAGGATCAATCGAATTCATGTTAGTAGTATGTTAATAGTCATTTCAGTTATCTGTCTTTTAACAGATGATTATCCTAATGTCTCTTGAACATACTCACGGGAGAGGAATTCACAACGTACGTCGGCAAAGAATCTCATTGGCGAATGACTATCTGCGGGAAAAGGAGGAACGTTGATTTGTGCGACACAGATCCCTTTAAACTGGCAATCGTGCCGTCTGAGATTAGTCTTTTGATGCCATTTCAAAAAACTTCCCCAGTCGACATCCAGATCAAGTCCTCTTAGCATGTCTTTGCTTTGTTAATCGTTGTTGTAAGTTAAATACCGTATTGACAAGTATCATTCTGTTGAATTTGTCTGCTTACCGTTAGAGTCTCAGCAGCCATTAAGCTAAGAGAGGGACGAGAATCTCTGATTCTCGTCTCTCTACCCTTCTCCTACCCCTTCCCCCTTCAAAATTCCTACGGCGAGACCGACAGAGATCACGTTGGCGACCCAGGCAAACTCAGGTCGTTCTTCCACTAAGCAAAGTCGTGGTCCATAGAGGAGTCCGGCAGCCGTCTGGGATGTCTGCGACTGCTCAATCTCGCGTGGGAACCAGGGCTAGGAAAGGAGCCCTAAACAAACAAATGCGGAGACTACGTCCTCTGCGCGCTGATCGCGGCTCACGGACGCAACACTAAAAACAACTAAACAGAAATCAGCACTCCTGCTTTTCCTCTCTCCCTTACCGCCGCCCCAGTCACCGGACTGGTAGGACGAGTCTGCTCGTGCCGGCAGCCTGGAATGTTCGTTCCCTTTTAGACAGTCTGAGAAGCAACCGACCGGATCGGAGGACGGAGCAAGTGGCTCGCGAACTGACGCCCTACAAGGTAGACATCGCTCCATTCAACGAGACCCAATTCCCCGAACAAGGCTGACTGGAGGAGGTGGGTGCTGGCTACCCCCTTTCTGGAGAGGTCGCCCCAAGGCATAGCGACCGGACGCGGGTGTCGCCTTTGCCATCAGGAAAGATATCGTGGGACCGCTGCCCTGACTGCCTCAGGGTACCAACGATCGCTTAATGAGCCACCGCCTGCCTCTTTGAGAAGGCGGATTCGCCGCCTTCATCAGCGTCTACGCTCCGCTGATGACTAGTCCTGACGCCGCAAGGGCCAAATTCTACAAGGACCTGGACGCCCTCCTGGCGACTGTGCCGAAGGCGGCGCAGACCATGCTGCCTGTAGAGGAGTGCTGGGTCCTTGTGGTCTCGACAACTCCAATGACAATGGCCTGCTCCCCCTACAAACATGCGCAGAGCATCGTTTCGTACTGATCAACATCTTCTGTCTTCAGATGCGAAAGAAAGCCACCTGGATGCATTCCCGATCGCTACATTGGCATCTGCTGGACTTTGTCTTCGTCCAGAGGCGAGACCAGAGGTACCTGTTGGCAACAAAGACAATACCGGGTGTCGACAGGTGAACCGCCCATCGCCTCGTCATCTCTGAGATGCGGATTCGCCTGTAGCCTCACAGGAGGCTCCAAGGGAAGTAGCCCTCGGATAACTTGTCGCTGCCTGCTCACGATCTCCATTTCATCAGTGATCTAGCCAAACGGCTAGCCAAACTTCCAGTCCCCGCTACTGACACCACTGACGAGAACGCCTTCGTGGAGAACAGATGTAGACAGCTGCGGGACACAGTGCAGTCGACGCCCTGGCTGTCCTCGGTCACGCACGACGCCAACACCAAGACTGGTTCGATGACAAGGACGCCGCTATCAGCGACCTGGTCACCGAGATAAACCGTCTGCACGAAGCCCTCGTCAATAACTCCACCGATGACAGAAAAGCTTCTTTCCACCCTAGTCGCCGTCTTGTGTAACAGCGGCTGCGGGGGATGCGGGACGCTTGGACACCTTGCAAGGCCAAGGAGATCCAAGGATACGCGAATCGCAACGAGTGGGAGAACGTTTTCGTCGCGATCAGGGCTGTCTACGGTCCCACAACCAAAGCAAATGCTTTTTTTCTCAGCGCCAGCGAAATGGCCCTACTCGCGGAGAAGGTGCCGATCCTGAAGCGATGGGCTGGGCACTTCGGAGGCGTCCTCAGCCGTTCCTCTACTACCTACGACGCCGTCATCGTCCGTCTGCGTCCAGTGGAAACCAACGTCGATCTTGAACTCCCACCCTCTCTACACGAAACAACCAGCAGCGCTTCAGCGGGAAAGCGCCCGGATCGGATGCGATTCATGCTAAAATCTGCAAGCACGGTGGCTCCCAACTTATGGGACACTGCAGGATTTCAATGACGCAATCCTTGTTCACCTCTAGGAGCTGAAAAGCAACCGGTAAGCCTGCGCTAATCATAGAGGCACCTGACTACTGAACAGCGCCGGGAAGATTTTCCCCCGCATTCTACAGTCGCCTCAACGGACACCTCATGCAAGGACTCCCGATGGAAAACCAATACCACTGACATGGTGTTTTCCGCTCGCCAGTTACGAAAGAAGTGCCAGGAGATGCGAGCTCACCTCTACACCACTTTCATGGACTTGACGAAGGCCTTATATACGATAAATTGCGAGGGACTGTGGAAAATAATGCGGAAATTCGGCTGTTCGGAACGATTTGCGTACATGGTACGTCGGTTCCATGACGTGATGATGACGCTCGTCATGAACAGTGACGCAATCTCCGGGGCATTTGTGATGACCATTGGAGTGAAGCAGGACTGCGTGTTCGCGCCTACTCTTCTCAATATCGTGTTCTTTGTCATGCTGATGGACGCCTACCTCGATGAGCGCCCACGGATACGCCTACGGAACTAACTGGCATTTCCACATCAACAGGCACATCCAAGCCCAAACGCGGCTATCTACGACCATGGTTCACGATCTGTTCTTCGCCGGCGACTGTGCGCTCAACACCATGACCGAGATGGACATGCGGAGGGGCACGAGCCTCGTTGCCGTCGGGTGCGTCGACTACGGCTTGACTATCAACATGGACAAAACGGAGGTAATGCATCGACCGTCACCCAGTTCGCCACACTTAACTCCTCCCCGGATCACTGCAAACGGCCACCAACTCAAAATCGCGGACAGTTTAAACCTCAAAAGTCCGCCTTTCAAACAACAGGATAATCGACGATTACGTGATCCACCGGATCTCCGTTGTGGACATCCATCATGGCAGCTCGCGCCTCTCGATAGCGCCGGCACCTACGCCCTAGCGACAGCCTGCAATGGCACGCACGTCTGCCCGGCTTCGATTAGTCTTGTCGCAATTCACTGTCTGCGCCACGCATCTGTTTGATTCTCTGCCTGCACCATACGAGGCTTGTCACTACCCTCGCGTGGGTTCGGAGCCAATCAACGAAACTCCTTTCGCTGATTGGTTACATAGTCTAGACCATTGCGTAAACAATCCCTCATGACACTTTCGCAGCGGCAACTTTCGGCGACACACAGCTCGTCGCTCTCGCGGACGCCGCCTCCGCTGCGCCGGATGCACCCTCGTCCGGCTGCCAACTTTCCACTATCCTTCTGTACAGAGTAAAATCTTCTACCCAACTGGCGCCCGTCTCTTGCAACTTGGGATATGGACTGAAGTTTTGGCGCACTGAGAATACACCATCGCCGTTTACGCACTACATCTCAAAAGCCAGCCAAGCCTTCGGCCGGCGGCAGAACTCCGTGTGGGATTGTCATGGTCTCCAACTGAATACCAGACTAAAGATGTAAAAGGCCGTCGCCCTGACAACACTTTTATACGAAGTGGACCGTCCGCTCCAGCCACGCAAGAAGCTCAACCATTCTCATTTCAGCTGTCTTCGCAGAATATTAAAGTTGGGATGGCAAGAGAGAATACTCAACATGGAAATCCTAGAACGGACCGTCATTCTTAGCATTCACACCATGTTGAGGCAAAGGCAGCCACATCTCGTGAGAATGGAAGACACACGACTACCAAAACAGCTCTTCTATTATGATGCCACCAACAGTGCTCGCCTACTCGGAGAGCCAAAACGACGCTGCATGGACACATTAAAGAAGTCTCTTAGGTGAATGCATATCGACCCAAAGACTTTAGAGGATCTCACCCAAAGCATACCGGCCTGGAAAATGGAAATGAAGACTGGCGCTGCCACTTGCGAAGCAGATTGGATCATCGCCGCCAAAACTGAACGGGAGGTTCGTGAGTTGCAAGTATATCGCCACCTCAGTGCCCAACTTCCCCCACTTCCAGAATTTCCACGCCGCCAGCGCGCATACAACTCACAAATTGGTCTTGTTTGACATCTTCGGACCCATTGCACAATCAACCAGACAACGTGTACCTCTTCTCTCACTGTCGTCCGTGCCACAAACCCCTCGTCGACCATTACCCCCGTCACCGTCGACCATAATGCCTCTGCCCCACCGCCATCATTCGCCCTGCTCTAACTTGCAGCGACAGCAGCGGTCAGAATCACCACCGCAACGTCTTCATGCACTACCCAGCCCCCAGACTGGACGACGTCCAACGTCTTATCAGCTTCACACATCCCCAAAACACCCACACCCAGCGATGTCGACTCGGTTCATCAATGTCCACATTGGGATCGCACATTCACCTCACACATCGGTCTGGTCGGTCACTTGCAAATCCACCACACAGAGACTGACGAGCCGGTGCCTGGAGAACCAACGTACACTAACCGCATCCGCCTCAACTGTCCTCACTGCGTCCGCGCATTCACTCACCGCATGGATCTATTAGGAGACTTGCGCATTCATGAAAACAGACAGACACAGCAGAGAAATTTACACACGATGTGGATGCTTATTCAAATTCATAGTACTATCCAAGTAAATTAAAAATGCTGTCACGCCTAGTAAACGCTTTGCTAGAACATTAAACCAACGCTTGTTAAGTGCGCATTGCGACAAGTTTGCCTCAACTTAATGTCCTAATAGAAGGAAAAGCTAATTAACAGTGGTAGCATTTGATTTATAGTAGAAAAACCAAATCGCCTTTTCAGTAAGGTTTTTACCTTTTCTGCCTATTACAATAAAAATGTTGAATTTGGAGAGTGCTCTTCATCCCGCCAAATCCCGTTTTTTCCATTAAAATGCTGCGATCTTAAGAACAACGAAAATGCCAAAAGTATTAAATATAAAAACGCTCATAAAAATTCGAAATATTCTGCAAATATTCGGCCAAATATTAGCAGTAATTCTGTTTATAAGCGTCAAAAAAGCACTATTTAGACAGAATTAAAGGTAGAGTAGAAATTGTGCTATGTAAGGTGGGTAACTTTCACGTCCTCCGACGAAAGGAGCTCCAACAATCAAGCATTTAAAATTGTCCATCGAATCGGCTTAAACATATCTTTGCAGTTCAACTCTAAAAAACAAATAACTGTGTGTAAAGCTAAATTTTTTATTATTGCGTCACAACGCCATGTTCTTTTAAATTGCTGCGCGATAGTGTGGTAGTTTAAACTTCTAGAAGAACCAATCGGAGAGACCTCCTGGTTTGTGTGGACGCATGTCAACTGCGAAGACTGAAAATGGGGGCGAAACCGCGTATGGTGGGGCGGAGGGCCCGGATGCCATGTACGTTAAACTAGTTTCTTCTGATGAACATGAATTCTACATTAAACGTGAATTTGCCCTCACGAGCGGTACAATTAAAGCAATGTTGTCGGGCCCTGGTAAGTATAACACCCGTCCTTTCATACGTTTTGACCTGTTAAATAGGCCCTACAAATCATTTTTGGCACTATTTTCCTGTTGAAACTGCATGCTATTCAACTAACGTACGGAACTTCTCACAAAAAAATTTTCCATCATTTTTGAACCAACCATTTTGAACCAACCGCAATTGCGGTTGGAAGCTAGCTAGATCTGGCTTCCCACCGTCTAGAATGCCTTGAGTCTTAGTTATTATGTATCCCGCAGACTATCTTGCTATGCCCTCGATCTTTTGTGTTTTGTCTTCAAAAATCAGTTTACCGTGGGCGGTTTCGTAGCAGGTTACATTTCCACATTGAGCTGCTGTAGATGCCTAACGTTCTCCAATGCAAATGCATTTCAAGTCTTATCTCGGATTGTCTATTTAGTAAAAGTAAAGAGTGGATTAGTTACCGTGGAGATTGGGTCCTTGCCGTTTACGCCGGCGAAAATTACGCACGCAATTGCATATAACGATACCATTCAAAGTCCACTTGAATAAAACTACTTATTATGACATACATCACTCAAGGTATCGGTACTAAGTATGACCTAATTGACAGTTATACATGCTTACCATGTCACCGTGACGTCGTCTGATTGCGGATTTTTCGCGTCAACGGTCTCTCTCTGACTGCCGCTGTTGATTCGCAACTGCCTGTTTACCAAACATAAGCCAGCTTATTTCACAGCGTACCTTCATTGAAGGTTATTTTATCGTCCGTTAGCCGTGAGTGCGTCGGTTAGCCGACAGCTAGACTAACAGGCAGATCTCGACAGCCCATTATTTCTGCCCATTATGCTTAGCCGACTTTGCCGTCATTTCCCGTATTTGACGGAATAAATCATCATTGCGGGATATGGCTCGAGTCGTCTGAGCAGACAACTGCAGGGTTCGTCTACTGATTCAGTCACTACAACGCTGCTGGGTGAATCCAAGAATTTGGCCAGCTGCCCCAGAGACTGGTGACTCCAATTAAGACCGTTGGCCACAGCCTTCTCTGTCGACTCTGGTTGTAAAAGGGGCCCGGATTTCTGTATGGAGTCTCTCAAGTGCATTTTGGATGCAACTGAGAGGTGAACTTTCGAGCGTGTGCAGACGAGAGAATTTTCAAACCCATAGGCGTTACCAGTTTCGGCACCACGCATCGATCTGCCATCGTGAACCTAGCTGCGAAACCTTCAACCGACCGGAATGTAGTCTACGTGATTGACTATATGCCTGTCGTCTGAGAACCGGGTCAACAGATGTTTGTGGCGATGCTGGAAGCACGTGTTGGTGACAAGCAATAGACTTCGATCGGCAGGATCCAGCATCCTGTCACCCTTATCTCATCAGGAGCCAAGCCCAAAGTGACCAATAAGGTGACTGTTTGAAGAGTCGCCAGGTTCAGACCGGCCATCCCAGTCCCCGGAAACAATCAGCAGATTAAGGCGTTCGTGTCTTTAAACGAATTCCCAAAGCTGCAGGCAGAAGGTTCCTTTATCACGGGGTTCGGCTGCTGATGTTGGTGTGTACACGGAGACGACAAAGATGTTTGTAAAGTGACCATTCAGTTTCACGTAACTCATCCGGCTATTGGCTCGTCCCCATGCGGGGTTTGCCTATTCAGAGAGGGCAATAGCCACACAGTGTCCACCTGAAGAGTTGCTTGGGTCGCGGTGGTACAGGCTGGGGTGTGACTTGACTCCCGGGACCTTTATCCCCCGAGCGCCGGATAAAGTGGTGTTCCATCATTTAAGGTCTTTAAGTTATCGCCATTCCAGACGTCAAACTACTTAGGAGGCTTTTAACACGATGGAAATCAGCGCCTGACACCTTGTAAACGACATCGATCAGTGCCAGTAAACGCTCGATGCTCAAACCTGACCTTTCGGAACGGAAGCTGGCAGTTTTCACCGACTAAGCTTAAGCAAAATCCTTCCAGACTGAAATATACCTCTTAAGGAGGCCCTGTGGAAAAGTCGGAGAGCCAGAGGTATTCGGACTTGACCTCTTGCTTAACCAACAGATGGAGGATCATTTTACATTTACATTTTCTTCCGTCCTGCGAACCCGAGTGAGGATCAACGCGTCACAGAAGTCACTATTTTCCGGAATGCCCCGTTTTTGAACTGTAAATGCCAGCTGCCCAGGATAAGAAAGAACCGCTCCTTTTTTGCGACTGCATTTAGGCTGCCTGTTACAGACGTGCCCGAATGTGGCGGTCGTCGCAGCAGTTAACATCGTCATTCTGCCGACGTTGTCCTTGCCTACTTAGAATTGCCAGGCAAGGCACAGTCGCTGGAACAAGTCCTTTATTAGCCTTACTTTTCGGATTCTCACACGAGTCCATCATCAGAAACAAAGTCAGATAAGAGTCAGAGAAGTGCCACTTGGTGGTGATGAAAGACCCAAATCACTTGTCGACGGACACTGGTACTAGTCACGATATTGGCCCGACGTAGTTACCGACCAAACACACACACCGCCCAAAACAAATAATTAAAGGCACTTGTCTTTAGAAGACCAGTAGGCGGGCGTAGACGCGTTTTCAATGAAGTGAAGCTGTAACTGTCATAAATTACCACACTTACCTAGATTAGTTAGATTTTCGTACTGCATGCACTTTTGTTGGTCAGTTATGGGAACGGCAATCCGCTTTCTCTGCCTACCTGTGGAGACAATTTTCCGGTTTGATCACAATGTAAGGTGCAGGTGTAGACTTTTTGCTATCTCAAAAGTCGACCTTATCTTTCGGGGCGTACGGACTGAATGCATGGATCGGCCGTTGTTTGCGCAAGAATCCCCTTGGGGAAAAATTCCGAATATTCGTTCGTCCATTGATTGGGCAGTGCGTATGAGCAAGGGCATCACGAGTCCTCGATGTTGATTGGTTGCGAGATTATACGCGTGACAGTTCCAATTAGCATATCAGTTTGATTGTCAAGTGGAAAAATATCACGAATAAGTGGAGCAGACGGCAGCAATCGAAACGGGATGATGACATGCAGTGGATGCCCTCTACCGCAAGTTCGAAAGGTTGCCTACTTACGACATGTACCGTACGTCTGACGCAAAACGTACACTCTCGATGAATATTTGCAAAACCAGCGTTAAGTGGGATACATTTCTTATTAAAAATGTAGCAGAACCTGCAGACGCCGTTCGATTGTTTTATCTAGACCTGTTTTAGAACTGCTCTCCGTTTTTATATAGGCCCAACTGGTAACACTGATCAGTAGAATCGCAAACACCAGGGAACATTTGATTTCGTATTTGAATGCGTTCTTCCTCACTGATCACTCAATTAAGCGACTATTGCCGGTTTTGTAGCATTGGCTTAATGCATTTACTATTCTCCTACAAAGTTTATGTACGCGAGGTCTAGTTAACGAGGAGAGTATTCTGTGTCATCTCTTCGTTCAGTCTAACCGTTCGGGAAAAATGCATGAAGGTGGATTCTTGCTCCACGATGGTAGTGCGGAGTGCCGCCTTTTGCTAAAAATATAACTTGTCAACTTCAGGGGCCTCTATGATACGTTGCACGAGAGATTGTAAATGGGATCAGTTACAGCAGCATCAAAAAGGATAACCCAATTAATCCTTTTAATGATAGTTCACACCACACCGCGTCTCGCCATCACATTCCACAGTAAGTATGGTTGCGGTGGTTAGTTGGGCATTTGATTTGAATGTAGCCCCATGACACCACACAGTCTTTCTTGGAAAGTATGCATTATAAAAAAGGGAAGAGGTTCTTCGGCAAAAATCGAGTTGTACTCGTGAATTTTCGAATTGGTGACACCAACCCCTTCCCCCTTCCTGCCATCCCGGCTCAGAACCCAGCATGACTCCCTACCCCCATCCCTCCTCACACGCTAATGGTCCGCCCGTCAATGTTTGCCCTGTCGCGTCTACTAGTCTAGTGTGACTGTCTCACTCTCTCTTTTCTCTTCATTTCGTCTGACGACGGGTTGGTGTCACCAATTCGAAAATTCACGAGTACAACTCGATTTTTTCTGAAGAACCTCTTCCCTTTTCATTATATCGTCCCGGAATGCCTACCACTTCTACTCTACAGGATGTATTATACTTTACGGGTCGTCTTCGCTGGCAACATAGACCAATCTTGCGACGTAACTTTTATGTTGGCAGGCGCTTTGAAATACGGTGAGCAGAGGATTTTGGAAGAAACGCTGGACAAGCTATCAGTTTTTAGGGTGCGCATGCATTTTTTGGGACACCCTGTATATTTGAAGCAGTATTTCATCAGTATGAATTTGAAACGGACATACACAGCAGAATTTATTGGAACCAACAAATTTCGCTACGGCTTATCAGCCGCAACCTGCCGCTGTGTAACACAGATAACGAGCAACAAAGATACAACGATTTGAATTGCCATAGAAAAAAACCAATTCAAAACAGCGAGGTCATCGTTTACTGCACCCAGACTAATTAATGAAAGTGATAACTTAGGAACTCATCTTTGGAAAGGAAAGTTGGGGAAGTTAGCATTCAGAGGGGGGGGCGCAAATCAGTGGGCTGAGATCTACCAGGACAAGCTGAGGTTGGCCACGTGGTCCAAATGGTTGCATAGGTCGGACACTTCCCGAACTATGTAGACCACCACTGCCTGAGGGCCATCCTTCGAGTGAAGTTCACCGACTTCGTCTCAAATGAGACAGTCCGCGCTCGTTGCGACAACATCGCGAGGATAACTCGGACCGTCCAAGAAAGACGACTGAGATGGTTCGGGCATGCTCTTCGTCGTCCACTTCAGGAGCTCAGTGTTACTGCCCTCGATCCGGCACCGTTGCCCCATTGGAGACGTCGAAGAGGGGGTCAGTTCAAAACCTGGCTCGACACAGTTCGTCAAGACATGGAGGTGGTTCTTGGACCTTCGGTATTCGGTCTCCGTCGTTGGCGAAGGGAATAGGTTGAGCTGTCCAAATCTGCTGTTACCGCGGATCGTCACGCGTGGAGAGGTACAGTTCGTGACATTTAAAATGTCGTTATTCATAAATGGTATGGATATGACAACGGGCTTTTTTGGAACTGATTGTTCCGTCAATTTCGGCCGTAAGGTATTGCTGTACTTCTGGGTGAAATGTGTCGGATATCCACTTCCCAAGCAAGGTTGTTTTGAGGCAAGAAATTTCTGCATTCAGTCTCTCAATAGAGCGGATGTTTCTCGCTCTTTGGAAAAGATTGTAAACGGGGTTTCGTCTTCGTTGTATCGACATAAAGCCAAGGAAGTGTAGGTATTGACATTTCCATGTATCCTTATGAGAAATCCGATCGCCCTATTTAACCATCTTCATGTATACTCATGAGGACGTCCAGGAAAGGTAGTTTGTTGCGCTGCTCCTTTCCCATTGGGAATTTGATCTTTGGGTGGAAACTACTCAAAGCAACAAGTAGGTCATCCACAATCGCAAATATGTATCTTCTGTGTTTTCATGATCAAGTTAGATGACAACTTTTCTTCAAGGGGACTCCTTTCCCTGGTAAATCGCAGTCCTCTGATCTACACACCCCGTCTGCATGCCAACTTCCTCACTTTTTCTTTCCCTAGATGAGTTCTTACGTTACCATTTTCGTTGATTATAGCTTTTTAATTTCCTTAGAAATTAACTGCGAACTTGCAGTACATCAGTACATTTAAGGTCTATAGGCCCAGACCTCGGCTCTTATGTGTGAATATTTAGGCCGAAGTCCATCAGCCACGGCGGATAACCGCGTAATATTCATTACCTAAATTGGAGTATCTACCAGAATGCAGACAGGGAATTTTGGGGGCTCACTGAGGGGCCGAAGCCCTCGCCACTGTGCTATTCAGCGCAGAATATCGGTGAAACACGCGTGTATGAGCTTTTGGCTAGTACTGTGCTGTTAGTGTGGAATTACCTTTCAGTGACTAGTCTGTGTGCAGTAAGCAATGACCTTGATGTTTTGCATTGAATTTTTGGCTAGATTGCAGTTGGTAGCCAGGCTCCGTATTACAGGTGACTGGAGGGGGGGGGGTTTGTTTACTGGGGCTATTTTGTGGGGTTCCATAATCACATCTGACCCATTTGGCTTCCGTTTTAGGTTTGAGGTTAGGATTAGGATACCGGTTGATGGTTTCCGATTTTCGGGTTAGGGTTATGCCTTTTAGCTTAGGTTTTCGGGTTACGGTTAGGGTTTGAGAGTACGATTAGGTTTAAGTATTACGGTTAGGTTTTTAAATTACGGCTATGTCAAAGGGCTACGGTTCCGTTTACGATTTCTGTTAGGGTTGCCGTTAAGGTTAACGGTTAGCGTTTAAGTTTAAGGTTAGGATTAGGGTTAAGGTCGCCGTCCGCTTCCTCATGGGAATTCAAATCGCGTTATCTTCCTCATTCGTTATCTGTGTTATACACCGACAGGTTGCAGTTGATAAGCCGTCGTGAATTTTTTCTGGTTCCAATAAATTCTGCCTCTTTCAAGCACCCTGTATATGTCTATGCCTCTCATGGGATGCCCTAAAATTTGCCAGAAGGTCCGTATGATTCGGAGCCCGCACACTCCGCTCTTGCTGAACATCTAAGAACATTTATCGAGATTCAAAATGTGCGGAAGACTCAAGCACACGAAAAGGAGAGAATAATGAAACCAATGACTCATGCACAATTTTGATACTTTGTGGATCGTTTTTTTACATATAGTACAGTTTGTATTGGTTCCTTAATTATAATTATTAGGCGAGCAATCAAGTTTTGCCTTTCTCGAAAGCGTCTCCCCTGTACTGGGTTCCTTTCGTCAGCGCAAAAGTGTTTTCAATGGAATTTAGGTCTGGGCTTTTCGCAGAAATGAAGATTGTTTCCAAGGTCTCAGGCAGAACGATTGGCTGTTGTCTACGGCATCATATTTTTGTGGTAGGCGTTGCTAGAAACGCGCCTCTCTTGACCGGTGAACAGGAGGGTTTTCTTGCGAAATTGTATCATCCACCTTGCGGTGTCAACTAACACCTCTCTACTGATGACAAACTTTGTTGTTTACCAGATGGGCCGCGCACGATTTGACGGTCATTGAAACCACCCGAATGTGCGTTTGCGCAATATGGTCGGGTAGGAAGTTCTTCTCGCAAACGACCGCCTAGGCTACCAGACGCAGGCTTGTCTCCAGGAAGACCTTATCGAAGAAGTAGATGGTCTTTTATAAATGAACATCTTTGTAGAATGCCAAACTGTTGTTTTTTTTTCTGACCATGTTCATGCGTTTCCCAGCACACAATGCCACAAATTTACGAATCGGAATTTTTGAAGTCGATCTTGTTCCTTGTTTCCTGAGAGGAATACGATTTTTCATATCGGGCATCACCTGATTCCCTTGGGGTCGACATTTCATTTTTTAAGTTCTGGAAGGCACTTAGTGTAGTCTTTGCTCGCTTGTAGTAATGCCCTTTCACAACGAAATGTGCTCAAACATGCGACTCTGAGCTGTGACACCCAGCACGATAGGGAATCACCTGTATACAAAAAAGGGTTGACTTTTGTTAAATAATGCGTTGGACCTCAAGCACTCCTTGCACTCCACGTGAGTCTCATAAGTAAAAAAAGTGAGAATATTCCATGTGATTAAGGAGAAGCGGATGCGATCGCTGGAACAAGAATTTCATTCGCCTGACGTTTCGGAATTTCATTCGAACCCATCATGAGGGACAGCCGAAGATAATGGTGACGGTTGTCTCTGGTGATGGTTTCGAGTGTGAGTCCGACACTTCGGGCGAGCAAAATTCTTACCCCAGTGATCGCATCTTCTCATCGGTTGCTTCCAGAAAGTGGCTTGTATCGGCCGGGTTATCTAGGCCCCGTCGTCTACTCTTTTCCGCACATCCGCTCTCTGTAATACTTCCTTTCGCTGCCCATTTTAGGTCAATTTCAGGAGAACGAAACTAATGTGGTCTACTTCAGGCAGATTCCGTCACACGTTCTGCAAAAGGTGTGCAGTTACTTCGCCTACAAGGTTCGCTACAGCAACAGTTGCTCGGAGATTCCGGAGTTTCCTATCGCACCGGAAATATCTCTGGAACTACTAATGGCGGCCAACTTTCTGGATTGCTGAATCCTCGCTGAGTTATTAAACTTGTTCGGCCAACATGCACCCGTGCCCTCTATCTTCGAAGTTCTCACCCCCATGGAGCAGTTTTTCTTTCAGTATTGTTGTCATTGTTGTTTGAGCATCAGGCAAATAAAGTTACGGTTTGGCGTGCATGACTGACCCCCTCTCGCACTTTCAGGCCGTCGTATGTAGGAGGCCAGTACCGGCACTTGAACTGGTGTTAGTTACGATTGGACTGGCGTGGAGTTTACAGGTGCTCCAAACTGTACCTGCACACACACACTCGTCTCCTTCAGTGGACTTCATCTCGGGCTCTTTTGTTCCACGCTCATTTGCGTCATTGTTGACTGGACGTCGCAGGGAGGATGACCCGATCAGCGCAGCCTTTTAGGGGTGGGGGGGGGGGAGGACGGCGAAAGCGTCACTGACAGTTCGACCATCGGTTTCGATGATGTCCACCATGTGCCCCACAGTTGCAGCAGCAATGGGAGCAGGGACGGTGACTTACGCAGGGGTTTATAGTGCCGGTAGACTTGCGTAGCATCTACCTACCTCCTCCCTCGCCCGAGCCCGGTGTCAAGACAGAGTCAAGAAGACCGGAGGCGAGGGAGGCCGCAGGTGGATGGCTCGGACGGATCCTCACCTTGGCGTTCCACCACACCCCCTGGTCCGCACAACAAATGACCAGGAATTCAACCAACAGAACAGAGATTTGGAGGCTGGCACGGCCGAAGCCGCACCTGGGCGTGCCGCCAACGCCTGGCTCGGATCCCACACTGTGGTGAGAGTGCCATAAAGGCCACATTAAAAAGGAGCCATTGCAGCCTGACTCTCAGACCGCCTCCAGTGAAGGAGGAGGTCCAAGTTACCCCGTCAGTTGGCAACCTTCCAAGCCACGGCTTTTAGCGCACCGTGATAGCTTCAAGCGCGTCAGATTGTTTATAGTGAGGAGGAGGTGCGCTGAGTCGTCGACCTCACTCTCCCTTCCCACTCCCACACCCCAGCCGCTGTCCGAGCCGGTCAGCAGACTGGAGTGGGGAATGGGCGTGGTGGCTGTCATGGTCGACTGACCATGACTGCGCGCGCCACGGCACGACCTGGCCCCCCATACACACAACACCAGGATTTCGCACAACGGGGGTTGAACGGCGTGTCTCTCACTTGCGTGAGAGTGTCACTAAAGCGTCACTAAAGCTCAGGTGTTGGACACCTGTCCAGCAGATCCACGCACATGCTGTCAACGGGAAACACTCGTCGATGATGTCTAGGCTCATGGGGTTTCAGCTCCAAGTAGCCAGGCTTAAAAGCCTTAGGACAGATTACATCAGCATTTCAGCTGCCAGTCTGTGAACGAGGGAGGGGGACAGCGATATGGCCGAGTAGAAGAGTAAAAGGTTGTAGCCGGGGCTGACTCCGTGCGACACTCCATTCTGAGAAGACAGACTGTTGCTCTCCCGTAGAGGGAAAATTAGTCAGGTAGAACAGCTCCGACGGGCACGTGCGTTGGGGGTATGTGTCGCTTTGTGAAATTCAAAGCCTCCAATCAGATAGGCCAGCGAGAGAGCCTATTTTCGCCATGACGCTATCGGTGTATTCATGATCCATAGTTCCATGGCTGCAGTTCTGCATGAGGATCGGCTTACACAGGACTTGAAAGCATAGAGTCGATTACGTAAGCGATCTTTCTCAATAATTCTGCCTTCAGCCTACCCGTCGGTGGCCGATAGATTGTTTCATACAGGATTGACGGACGTTTGTTTGTTGCTTTTCAATTTCCACAGCAATTACCGGCAAACTTGGAGTAGGCCAGTATGTGCAGTGAGTGACCTATCTCATGAAATGCTGATATGATAAATTATTGTGAGAAATAAATGTCTTTTAGGGTAACGAGATACCATACTAGCAGCACAAGTACTGGCTATGAGCTTTTAGCGAGTACCTGTGCTGTTGGTATGGTATCTTGCAACCCTGAAATATATTACTAGCTGCCTGTCAGTAGTTAATGAATATTACGCGGTTATCCCACTGTGGCTGATGGACTTCGGCCCAAATATCAGATTTCGATCTGCGCCTATAGACCTTAGTACAGTGAGTGGGCTATCTCATGAAATGTTGGCTGAAATTCTGAAATGCGTTTTCGATTAGGAAGGATTACTTGGTCACGGTTGTAATACTGGCTACCTTGTGGCATACTCTTATAATATTTCGAACTCGGCAGGATGTCGGCTTTTAAATGCACTTCTTTTCAATCTCCTGTAGAGGGCGTACTTGGTAAAAAATGACTACTTAAGTAGCATGCATTTTTCCCATTGATTTTTGATGGTCTTGCAAATTCAAAAATATTTTATAGATCCATAAATAAAAATATGCTTTATTTTAGTCAATCAATAGAGAATCTTTATATTTTATACTTAAGGAAGGAGTATAATTAGGTTTTAAAAAAGTTTTCCAATTGCCGAATAATTTGGAGCCTGATCATTCGTTGCATTAGCGCTTAGTGATTACACTCTACAAGGTGTATGCGTTCCACGTAAAGAAAATCCCATATTTATCTATGTCATTAAAGAGATATCATACAGAGTCCATAAAATTTTGCAATGGATGCGGACCATGTTGTTCATTTCATGAGAAGCAGTGGTAAACGGCCAGGTACGATGCTATGTGAATTGACATTTCGCGGTCTTAAAAAGTCTCATAATTAGAAACTTTTGAAAAGCCTAATTATACTCCTTCCTTAAGTATAAAATATATAGAAGATGTGATTCTCTATTGATTGACTAAAGGAAAGCATATTTTTATTCATAGTTTCTATAAAATATATTTGAATTTGCAAGACCATCGAAAATCAATGGGAAACATGCATGCTACTTAAGTAGTCATTTTTTACCGAGTACGCCATCTACAGGAGATTAAATAGAAGTGCATTTAAAAGCCGACATCCTGCCCAGTTCGAAATGTTATAAGAGTATGCCACAAGATAAGCAGTATTACAACCGCGACCTAATCGAAAACACATTTCAGAATTTCGGCCAACATTTCATGAGATAGCTCACTCACTGTACTAAGGTCTATAGGCGCAGATCGAAATCTGATACATGAATATTTGGGCCGAAGTCCATCAGCCACAGTGGGATAACCGCGTAATATTCATTAACTACTGACAGGCAGCTAGTAATATATTTCAGGGTTGCAAGATACCATACTAACAGCACAGGTAGTCGCTGAAAGCTCATAGCCAGTACTTGTGCTGCTAGTATGGTATCTTGTTACCCCTAAAAGACATTTACTTCTCACAATAATTTATCATAAATTATCTTTTCCGAAAATTGATGAGTGGAAGTTCGGAGTACTCTGGTTTTACACATATTTCGCGGATTTAAAATTTTTGGAAACCAGACCTGTGGATTTTCCTCGGGGGCGGCGGGAACATGCAGCGTTTATGGGTTCAGGTACGGTGAAGCACCGATCTGATAAATCACTTATCTATGACGAGATTACAAAAGAAGACGATGAAAGAGTTCGGTAAATATCAAACGCCATTCGAAAATGTTTCCTCCGCTTCCGTCACCCAGCGGATTAGGGCACTACTCGCGAATTTCCACGAACGTGCATGACTTACGCTATGACTACTGGAGTTGGAAAAACCTACGCTGATAGAAGCCGAAACGGGTACAAGAGTTACACCTGGGAACTGAAAATTTTGGAATAAATATTGAACATTTCACACGCGTGATAGATCTAGTCAGGAACCCTGCGACATGAGCGTACATATGCGCACAGTCGTAGATTCTCAAACATTTCAGAGTTACGTTCGCCTAGGTGCTGGGCTCTTCATCAACGGGGACGAAGACATCTTTCTAGGCGTTTCATCTCAGACTATTGGTGCTAAAACAAGGCTCCTGTCGAAAACAAACACCTTGGACGTGGATGGTCATCCCACTTTGTACGGCGGGAATAATCCGTGGTGGTAGGCCAGGGGAGGGGCGCTTCAACAGCCGCGGCGCGTAATATAGACAGAATAGCATTACCGACAAAGACAAGGGCGACTGGAATGGCCAAATCTGGCTTATTGGCCCCTTTAGTATATCGTTTGGCGGCTGACAATCAATAATCGAAAAGATTACCGGCAGATATGGGAGTACGACGGAGGCCACTCGTATGTGACTGAACAGTTCTGACTCCTGAAGAAGGAGACACAATCGTTGGGATAAGAGCTTTATTAGCCTGACGTTTCGGGTTCCTTCTCGAACCTATCATCAAAGACAACAGCAGATACGGGTGGTTCATGTACAAGGGGCCGCAGTATTTATAGGAAGCAGTCGCCATGCTACCGCATACCTATGAATGTTCACGGCTCCCCCCTTCATCCGGGGTCGTCGCACTTGGTCTGCTAATTGTTTGATGGCCGACATTCGCGTCGTTAATTGCTGCAATTTCATCACGTGTGTTCGATGTTGGTGTGATGATTGCTCGACCATCTGACGCACAGATCCTGGAGTTGGGAAAAGCATTCACCTGTGCGCTTCCCGCGTGGCTTATTACTCCGCCTAGGCGAAGTGTCAGCACCGAGTATGGAAGAGGAAGACCATTGCACTTGTTAAATACTGCAGCTCCTTGTGCATGAACCACCCGTATCTGCTTTTGTCTCTGATGACGGGTTCGAGCAGGAATCTGAAACGTCAGGCTAATAAAGCTCTTGTCACAGCGATCGTGTCTCCTTCTTTAAGACTGCTTCCTGGGACTCGTCTCTTCGCTTCTATTAGTTCAGACTCCGCCAACATGAGCGGGTTCCGCATTGCGGCACTAACGGCGTTGTTCGAGTTTTGATCATTGATGCACAACCTGGAGTTGGTGATGACGAAAATTTAACCAGAAATGGCCTTACCAGTGTTGTCATCTTAATGCATCGGGAATTTCGACTGCACCGTTGCACCAGGTTTGCGTGGCGTGTCGTTTCTAGCGAAAACCTGACATTTTACGAGGTTTCTGAAGCATGTTGATTA